GGCAGATTTCTGAGTTCAAGGCCAGCCTGGTCTACAGAGTGAGTTCCAGGACAGCCAGGGCTATACAGAGAAACCCTGTCTCGAAAACAAAAAAAAAAAAGAAGAAGTTATAGATCCATGCAGCAAAGTATGACATTATAAATTTCTATAACACCATTACCCTGTTGATATATAATTCCTGTAAGTGATGAAGAGGAAAGATAAACAACTGATGAGAAAGTAGGGGATTAATTCTATGAGCTACTGCTTTAGCAGAAGCATTATTTAATATACAGATAACTTTCTCTGTTTCAAGTGTTATGTTTTTTTTTTATGGAGTTTAACCAAGTATCTTAGTTAGGGTTTTACTGCTGTGAACAGATACCCTGACTAAGGCAACTCTTACAAGAACAACATTTAATTGGGGCTGGCTTACAGGTTCAGAGGTTCAGTCTACTATCATCAAGGCAAAAGCATGGCAGTGCCCAGGCAGACGTGGTACAAGAGGAACTGAGGGTTCAGCATCTTGTTCCAAAGTCAAACACAAGAAGACTGGCTTCATGGCAGCTAGAATCAGAGTCGTAAAGCCCATACCCATAGTGACACACCTACTCCAATAAGGCCAAACCTAATAGTGCCACTCCCTGGGCCAAGCATATTCAAATCACCACATCAAGAGTTTCCAGAAAGCAATTTAAAGAGCAGAATCAATCCTTAATAGTAATAGGCAAATAAGAATGTACCAAATTTAACTTAGCCCGAAGTTTTTTTTTTTTCTAAGTAACTGGGGGTACATTGTTTGTGAAATTTTAAGATAGTAAATTTGTTGTTGAATTGTTTAAATATATCCTAAATAATTATTAGATAATGTTTGTTTGTTTTGTTTTGTTTTGTTTTTCAAGACAGGGTTTCTGCCATGGAACTCATTCTGTAGACCAGGCTGGTGTTGAACTCACAGAGATCTGCCTACCTCTAGGTCTCAAGTGTTGGGATTAAAGGTGTATGGCACCACAGCCCAACAAGGTGATTGTTTTTGTATTTTACCTGAAGCTGTGTTTAAATTTTGCTCTTTTAGTTTGCTTACCATGAAAGCCCAGCACTGATTTAAGTATTCACTAGATGAGTGAAAGAGACGACTATCATCCACATAACAAATGACCAATACTTTGGGAAATTAAATCAACACCAGCTTAAGTGCTTTATGAACATAGCATTGACATCTAGTGGGGCTATTTTCATCCCTTGTTGTAAAACTTTCCACTGATACTGTGTCAATGGCTGCTGATTGTTTAAAGTAGGGACTAAGAATGCAAAATGTTCCTTATCTTCAGGATGCAAAGGAATAGAGTAAAAGCAGTCTTTTAAGTCAAGTATAATAATGTAATATCCTTGAGGATTCAGAGGGCCATCATTGTTTTTATAGTAGCATTTATGACCCTCAGAGCATTAATAGTTAATTTTTATTCTTTGCCCTTTTATGAATTACAAAAACTAGTTGAGCTCCAAGGATTCTGTATGTCCTAGTTGCAATTGGTCCTATACTAGAGGTTCTGTCTGTTTTAATTTTTCATCATGAAGGAGCCATTGTTCAATTCACAGTATGTCATCAGAGATCCACTGTAGTTATAAAGGCTGTATGGATGGCCCTTGATCAGTGACCCCAGTTAGGGAGGTTACATTTTCTTATAGTAGCAGATGATTCATTAGTAGCAGTAGTAAGTACTGCTTGCATTTGTTGTACTAATATAGCTCTTCCCCACAAGTTATATAAAAGTCCTGAAAAAATACTGCACAGTGCTAGAAGAATCTTTAAGGAATCCTATCGGTCTCCAACATCTTGTAATGGTGGGTCAGTAGACATTGACTAGTATGGGGGCCATTCTCCTTGATGACTGTTGTGGTTTGAATATGCTTAGCCCATGGGAAGTGGCACTATTAGGAGAGGTGGCCTTGTTGGAGGAAATGTGTCACAGTGTAGGTGGGTTTGAGGGCTCTTAGTGCCCACGTTCCACCCAGTGCAGAAGAGACAGTCTCTCCTGGTTGCAATTGGATCAAGATGTAGAACTCTCAGCTACTGTTTGCCGAGATATTTTGCTTCCTGCCATGATAATAATGGACTGAACCTCTGAAACTGTAAAGCCAGCCCCAATTAAATGTTGTCCTTTCTAAGAGTTGCCTTGGCCAGGTGTCTCTTCAGAGCAATGCAACCCTAGGACAATGATAATAACAGAATGATCTGCCTTAGTATCTAGAATGACTCTAAAGCAATGGTTCTCAACCTTCCTAATGCTGCAACCCTTTAATATAGTTCCTCATATTGTGGTGACCCCCCAACCATAAAATCATTTCTTTGCTATTTAATAACTGTAATTTTGCTACTGTTGTGAATTATAATGTATATATCTGATATGCAGAATATCTGACCCCAAAGGGGTTGTGACCCATGGGTTGAGAACCACTGTTCTAAAACTAAAAGAATAGTTTTTAGCTCAACAGAGGATGTCCATCTTGTGATATCAATCTTATATATAAAGCTAAGGAATTTAACCCCACTGCATTAGATCTTGCTGATCCTCCTGAATGACTAGATATTGATTTTGAATCTGGTTAGGTTATCTGGGTCAATTTCTACCTCAATTTTAGGGCTGGGTATTTCTTTTGTGGGAGCTTAAAGACGTACTATCCTTGTCAACGTTGGATCAACATTCCCTAGCCCAGTGCTTTCCTTTTTTACATCCTAGGCAAAGGTAAGGCGGAGGATTACTAGAATATTTTTGCATTCATTTTTCCAATGTCTTTTATTTCCAAATTCAAAATAAGGCCCTTTTTGAATTTTTTTGAATAGCTTCTACAGTGGCTCTGCAGTGTGAGAGAAGCTGTCAATAGCTTGAGTGGCTGTTAGCCAATTTTTAACAGTCACCCTGCTTTACTCTAAGATGCTGTGGCAGCTCTACTCTAGTGGTTCTTTACCAACCAATGTAAAGAACCACTCAGACTACATCTCTAGCAACCAGCACCCCCTTCTCTTGAGCCCTATAACAGGAAGCCCTGAACAACAATGTGGACACTGAGAATCTTCACTCCCATGACCCACTGTCACTCTTTAAAAGTATACCTATATAATCTGTAATACCACTTTTCTTCAAATAACATTATCTTTTTTTTTCTGTGAGCTCTTCATTTCAATTATTTGGAAAAGAGGCCAGGAACCTGGAAATACCCAGCCCAGACCCAGAGCATCAGTTACGACACTACTGTCATTGTCAGACCCACGGATGCAGAGACTGGTGGGAAAGAGGCCAGCAGAGAGCAAAGGAAACTCCTGGGCTGAAAGGCTGAGAATGAAAGGACCTGCTGTCTGCTGGGACCGTAGCTCTGTAATAGAGCACTTGGTGCTCCTGCATAAAGACCTAGCTTCGGTGGGGGCTGGGGGAGTGGGGAAGGGCAGAGCCTGCTTTTCCACGCCTGGTGGTCTCTTTAAGGATATAGCTTATTTTTGGTCTTTTCCCACTACATCATCAGCCTAGTGAGAGCTAGCAATTATGGATCGTTTCTTTTCTTTCTTTTTTTCCTTTCTTTTTCCTTCCTTCCTTCCTTCCTTTCCCTCTCTCTCTCTCTCTCTCTCTCTCTCTCTCTTTCTTATTTATTTATTCATTTATTTTCTCAAGGCAATGTTTGTAGCCCTGGCTGTACTGGAATTCTGTACACCAGACTGGGCTCGAATTAGGAATCTTCCTGCCTATTCCTCCCCAGTGTTAGGATTAAAAGTGTGTACCGCCACCACCCGACTAGTACCCGTTTTCTTTCTTGCCTTTTTTTTTTTTCTGTTTGTTTTGTTTTGGTTGGTTGGTTGGGGTTTTTTGTTTGTTTGTTTGTTTTGGGGGTTGTTTTTGTTTTGCTTTTTTGTTTGTTTGTTTGGTTGGTTGGTTGGTTGGTTGGTTGGTTGGTTGATTGGTTGGTTTTGAGATAGGGTCTCTCTATGAAGCTCTAGTTGTCTGGAACTCACTATGTACACTAGGCTGGCCTCGAACTCAGAGCTCCACCTGCTTCTTAAAGTATGCACCACCATGTCTGGCCCATTTTCTTTTCGAGTTATGCCTAGTTCTTTGTTTATTTTTTTAAAAAAAAAAGTATGAAGAGGGTTGTGTGGAGGGGTATGTTTTCTGTCTTTTCTCCTCCATCTTCCAACCCTCTCCCCACTCTCCACACCCCCCCGCAAAGTGTAGCTGTGAATATGCTGTATCGTGGAGCATGACCCTGAACTCCTATTGCCTCCATCTTTTAAATGCTAAGATTACGTACGGGTGTACCTTTAAACGCTTGTTCCGGGAAGCCTTCCAATCATTAGTCCTCCAAAGTCTATTACATAAAGAAAGTTCTTTCTTTCTTTCTTTCTTTTTTTCTCGTGACAGGTTTCTCTGTGTAGCTCTGGCTGTCCTGGAACTCACTCTGTAGACCAAGCTGGCCTCGAACTCAGAAATCTGCCTGCCTCTGCCTCCCAAGTGCTGGGATTAAAGGCGTGCGCCACCACTGCCTGGCTATAAAGAAAGTTCTTAAATGTCCACATAATTTTGTCTCGGTTAAGTTTCATTGTAACCAGAGTACACAGCATAAGAGGAAAACCCTGACTCTCTCTTCTGCATTTAATTCCAGCAGCAAGTTAGATTGGCCAACTCTAACACCAAGACCTTGCTGCTGCGCGTTCCCCTCACTGTGCAGACGCATATATGCCCTAAACTCAGTCGTCAGGGTGGGAAGATGATTTTCCGGGGAACTCGGAGCCCAAGTGATGCCCGTACCTGCAGGTAACGGATGTAAACTGGCCTCTGAGGTACCCAGATCTGATCCTTAAACAAGACCGGTGGGTGGTTTGCACTCCCTTGGACTAGAGGCCAGGCCTTCCCCCATTGGTCAACGTTAGGCTGGCGGTAGCTTCCATTGGTTCCGTGCTTCGTCTCGGTGCGTGGCCTTCTGGGAGTTGTAGTCTCGGCGTCCCTGGAGCTGCCGCCATTGTCCAGCGGGAGGCCGGTCGGGTGGTCTCAACGGCAGGGCTGCGTTTTAGATTAGGGACGCCTTGGACGTCTGTGGCTGACCTGTTGGCCTGGAATGGACCAGCAGGACAAAGCGGCAACAGTGGTGATGGCCTCGCGGCCGCAAGCAACACAACTTCAGGTAACAAAAACGACGGAGTGGACTCCGGGCCCGCTGTACCCCACAGACTAGCCTGTAACCCGAGGAGGTTTTTCCACAAGGGAAACAAGCGCTGTGGCTCAGCCTCCGAGCCTGGGTCCCAATCTAGTTCTCCCTGTGTGCATGCTTCAGCCTCCTGTCTCCGTGCCATGAAGTGGAGAGAGAGAGAGAGGGAGGTGGTCATTTCCCTGAGGACAGAACAGGCCCCGCTTAGGGGTTCGATCCCGCTCTGACCAACGCCCTCCCATTCATCCTGAGAGACCGTTCTCGGAGATGACAGGTTAGCGTTACAGACCAAACACATTGCAGGTACAGTCCTCAGGACGTGTCCTTAGGCACAGAATCAACAGACTTTTAGGGGAACCTCCGCACCATGACCCCTATTTTGCAAGTAAGGCTTAACTTCGTGGGGCAGAGGCACCAAGTTAGTAAAACAGAAGTAACTACCAAGGGTCACGCCTTTCGGGGCCTTGGGAAAACTGTGGTAGGTGTGGCTATCAGTGTGTGTCAAGCTCCTGGTCATCAGAGTTCTGCACTTGTAGACAAATTGATTATTCTATTCACCGTAGTCCACTTAGCAGAAGTCAAGACCAATTCATACATAAGTTCTGCAACTTTGAAATTATGCTCTGGAGGTCAGGAGGTGGGTATTTGGTTTGCTTGGGGGAAATTTGCATTATTTACATTTGGTGTGCAAAATGAGCTTATGCTAGTCTTAGACTGCAAATAATCAGATTCCTGTTATCTCAGTTTTTCATGAAATGTAACCAGAGAGTAGAACTAAGAACTGAGGCTATATGAATGAGCCATAGTGAAGGTGGATTCTCCAGCCCCAGTCAAGTCTCAGGCAACAGTCCTTAGGCTGACAGTTTGTCAAGGGATAAGCAATGAGGCAGACAGGAGAAGAAGTATATTTAATTTGTTATGGTGTAACAAATAGCACACACAAAATGTAGGGACCTGAAATAAATACTACTTCATGGGTTTTGATGGGTAGGAATCCAAGAGTGACTTAGTTTATGGATCTACCCCAGGCTCTTAAAGTTTTATTCAAAATGACAGTCCAACAGTTATTACTTGAGACTTGACAGAGCCGAGAAGACCCACCATCAAGATAATCCATTTGCATGCTATTGGCATGGAAACTGTGTTTCCTTGTGTCGGCCTTGCAATGGAAGCACTTAGGTCTTACCGTGTCATGTGTAGCTTCCTGTAGAGTGGTGTGATCCAGAAGATGGCCAGGTAGAAGCTGTGTTGTGACCTATGACCTGAGCTCAGACTTTATGCTGTCATTTCCACAGTATCCTCCTATCAGTTATAGAAGTCAACATGGCTGCATTCGGATAGGGGATTACTGAGGGGCCGTTTTGGAGGCTAGCCTCCGCAGGAGCAAGGACCAAAAGTGGAGACCTTAGAGGTCTAGCACATTAGTTTCTTGTGGTTGCTGTAGCAAGTCACTACAAACTGTGTGGCAAAAGACAATGTACATTATAAGCCAAGAGTGGTGGTGAATGAGCAACTGAGGCAGGAAGATGATAAATTCAGAGCCAGGATGAATGCTGTCTCAGAAATTTAAAAAAAAAAAAAAAAAGGACACCTTCTATAGATGAGGAGTCAGAAATGAGCACCACTGAGCAGAGCCACACTTCCTCCAAGTGCTAGGGAGGTTATCTGTTTTTTCCAGCTGTAAGAGCTGTAGCCCTGGCACTCCTTGCCTTGTGGCCTTTTGTCTAGCCTCAGAGCAGCAATGTAGCATCTTGCTTAAGTGATCACGTTACTTCCCACCTTCTCAAGTCTCTCGCCTATCTAGTAAATGTGTGGTTTGCATTTAGAGGCCACCTAAATAACACAGGACCTGTGCCTCCTTTGGCGTCTTTATCATATCCGCAGAGTCTGTGTCACCACTGTAATATTCATAAGTTTCAGGAGCAAGTACCTGGGTCTCTTTGGGTGAGTGGTTATCCTTTATTGAAAAGTGACAAGGAGCCATTCAAGTGTTCAGAGCAGTGCTTCACAATGCTGTGACCCTTTACTACAGTTCCTCACGTTGTGGTGACACCCCCAACCACAAAATTATTTTGTTGCTACTTCATAGTTTTGTTACTGTTGTGAATTGTAATATAAATATCTGATATGCAGGATATCTGATATGCAACCCCCAAAGAAGTTACAACCTACATCTGAAGAACCACTGTTTTAGGGACTGGTGAGGTAGCTCAGTGGGAAAAAGTGCTTGCCTAGCATGTGTGACGTACCACATTAAAAAACAAAACAAGAAACTGGGTGTGGTTGTGCATTCCTACAATCCCAGCACTTAGGAGGTAAAAGCAGGAGAATCAGAAATTCAGGGTCATCTTTGGCTATATAGTGTGTCTGAGGCAAACCTGGGATATTGAAAATCTTATCTCAGAAAAAAGAAAGAAAGAGAGAGAATGAATGAATGAATGTTTTTATTGTTAGGAGGCCTGGAGAGATGACTGAGTGGTCAAAGTACACAGATGTGAGGACTATAGTTTAGATCCCCAGAACCCACATAAACACTAGTTGGGCATGGTGGCCCACCTGTAATTCTAGCCTCAGAAGACAAGCAGGGGGTCTCCAAAGCAAGTTGGCTGTAGAGATTAACCATATCTTTGAGCTCTGGGTTTGATTGAGAAAGCCTGCTCAGTGAATAACGTTGGAAGAGGAACGGAAGATGATAGTCGCCATCCACGTTGGGCCTCCACACATATACATGCAGGCACACTCCTCATGTGTGCCTACACACATGTGCATCACACACACAAAAATGGAAAAGCAGGGAAAGGTGTCAAGAAGGACTGGTATAGGGTTGGAAAGAATCTCTTGAACATTGGATAAGATACTGAAAGCTGAGCTAAAATAGTTAGAAAGGGGGCAGGGATGGAGATGGGACCTGGTGACCAGATAACAAATAATGCCGATGTGGCCTGGTCATCAATAGAAGAATGTGTGGAAGACAAAGATCTGATCCCCCAAGGTTATCCTCTGGCCTCCACACACATGCATCCACACAAACACTCATAAACATATTCAAAAAGAAAAACAAATAAAACCTAGTAGCCATTTCCATAGGTCATAATCCTGCATGTCAGTGGTGTAGTCTGTCTGATCAATCATAGGTCAGCTGTGGTTGGCTTTGGTTGATCCTGCCAGGTGCTTGCATATGTCGTCATGGTAGCCCATGCCTACCCCTTAGTGCCCCAGTAGGCTCCCAGTGAAGGCTGAGGCACATCAGTCAGAGTGCAGAGTTTCTCAAGACCCCCACCTGCCTGTTTTCTCCCATTCTTCCTCTACCGCAGAGGTAGATGGTCCTACTAATCCAGGTTGCCTGGAAATGTTTCAGGAGCCAGTGACTTTCCGAGATGTGGCTGTGGACTTCACACAAGAGGAGTGGGGGCAGCTGGACCCTACCCAGAGGACTCTGTATCGTGATGTGATGCTGGAGACCTTTGGGCACCTTCTCTCTGTGGGTAAGTTCTGCCTCCCTGGCTATCGTGGTGGGATCCTCCTGAGTTACGATTTGGGGCCTCTGATATGGAGCTCTAACTTAACCCTGAGTCCTCATTCCCTGCAGGACACTCTTGTGTCCTTTCTGTCACAGAGCAAAACCCTCATGTGACTGTGAGATGGCCACATGTCCTAATGGTCAAGAGCCTAAGCTGCGGCCTGGGCTTGTTTTCCCAGAGCAGCGTCTGACCTCCTCTGTCTTTTCCTACTGCCAGGTCCTGATCTTCCCAAACCTGCAGTTATCTCCCAGCTGGAACAAGGTGCTGAGCTGTGGGTGGCAGACAGAGGAGGCTCCCGGGCCTGCCATCCAGGTAAGAACCCTACTAAGTGGGTACCCCCAGTTGGGGGGGGGGATTCCAGGAGGCCACTGGAGATGCACTTATGGGAAGAATATGGTTTCGTGGCCCTCAAACCCATTCCTCTCTTAGGAGGTTCACAGGACTTAGCATCAGACTAAAAGCAATGACTGGTTATAGCCAGAGATGCAGAGAAAAGTCTGTGAAGGGAAAAGGGTTTAGGAGGCAAAGTATAGAGTGGTTCTCACCCTTCCTAATGCTGTGACCCCGTATACAGTTCCTCATGTTGTTGCGGAACCATAACATTATTTTTGTTGTTGCTTCATAACTGTGATTTTGCTACTGTTACGATTTGTAATGTAAATATCTGATTTGCAGGATATCTGATATGTGATCCCAAAAGGGTCACGACCCCCAGGTTGAGAACCACTGGTCTAGAGGCAGCAGATACTAGTTTCCAGATCTTTACGCTCTAGAGTTAGACAGAATGTGCTCAGTCCCCCCAGCAGTAAGCTGTGATAGTGCGTGAGGACTGTGACCTCCAGGGAGGATGGGAGCCTGAGCTGTGATAGTGCGTGAGGACTGTGTCCTCCAGGGAGGATGGGAGCCTGAGCTGTGATAGTGCGTGAGGACTGTGACCTCCAGGGAGGATGGGAGCCTGTGCCGAGCGCATACCATGATTCTGGTGCTTGAAATAAAACTAGATCGGTGAACTTTTCTTACCAATTAGGATGGTGGGAAGCCACCCCAAATCCAGGTTCCCTAACACTCCCAAAGGCCAGCCTGTGAGCAAACTTCTCTTAGACTGCCAACTTAGCCAGTTGTCTTGTATCTCTGGAGAGTCCACCAGGGCCTCACCCTCCTCTGCTCACAAAAGCCATTCACTTCCTCTCCAGCAGTGAGAGACCTGCCTTGATTGTGTTTCTGCTGCGGCTTACTTTCTGGGCCACACCCTTTCTCATTAGCCTTCCCAGCATCCTCTTCCTGACTTTCATCCTGACCTTCCATTCAGTTCTTGCATGTTGGCTTCTGTAAACCTGTTCCTCATACCCTTCTGCTAGTCTGTTATCAGAACAGATTCTATTTAGGTATTAAAAATTTGTCCTAGGACTGAAGAGTTGGCTCAATGGTTAAGAGGTCGTGTTGTTCTTGCCAAGGACCCAGATTCAATTCCCATCACCCACATGAAGGCTCATTCAGGCACCAGGCATGCAAGTGGTACACAGATGTATGTTCAGGCAAAGCACTCATGAATAAAATAAATCTAGAAAATTAAAAAAAAAAACAACTAACTAACTAACAAAAAAACAAGAACAACTTTGGCCTTTGGTGATGCGTGTTCTAATCCCAGCACTCAGGAGGTAGACACAGGTGGATCTCTGTGAGTTCAAGGTCAATCTACTCTAAATATTGAGATCCAGGTAAGCTAGGGATGGAGATATATATACACACACACACACATCCACATCTTGTTAGATCCTGTCTCAAAAACAAAACAAAAAGCCTTACATCATGTTAAGAGAAGTTCAGAAGGATAGGGAAGTATCGTTTTTAAAAAAGCAACACCCCTGAATGCACTGGCACTGGCACTGGCACTGGCTTGGCACTTTAGAGATGTGCTAGGGTTGATGGTTCTGTGTTGCTCAGGGTTACAGTGTGACTACAACAGCTCTGGCCATCACATCCATGTTCCTGGTGAGAAGGAAGGGAAGAGGTGGGAACAGTGCCAGACATCTGTCCCCTGGTCCCAATACTCTTTGATCAGGACTGGGTTACTTGCCCTTATCCTGACACTGTCTACAAGGGACGGTGGAAAGGAAAGATCCAATACATAATTAAATGGCTGGTGCACTGGGACTCTGACAGCTGGAATGAATATGGTATGCTTTGGTGACATATAACCAGCAGCCCGCAGTCAACCCACCCGGATGCTTCAAGGTGCTACTCAGGGCTACAGAGAGACAAGCTGACCTCTCTGAAGAGGCATGACCCTCACTGTCAGGTTTGTGAGTCCACAGCAGACCCATTTCTTCCTCCTTGATTGGTTGTTGCCGATGCTGCTTCCAACTTGTTTGTTGTCAGGAGCAAATCCGACTCATCTGAACCAGTGCTTTTCTCTGATAGCTTACGCTGTGACTGAGTCTAGGGTCTAGAATAACCAAGCCCTGACTGGCTTGCACAGCAGGTATGGCATCAGAATTGTTACAGAGACTATTAGTCACACATGTTCTAGAAGCAGAGGCCTCCAGAGAGTCCTGTTAAAATGGAAACATACTTTGCATTAATATTCGTGTGGATGCCCTACTGCTACTGTACCCAAGTACTGTGACAGAGTGGTTGGGGAAAATATAGATTTGGCTGGTTATGATAGTAAACTCCTATAAGCTCAAGCACTCTGCAGGAAAGTCTCTGCAAAATCCTGTCCAAAAAAAAAAAAAAAAAGCCCACAGATTCATTTGTGTATTTCTCGAATTTGTGCAAGTTAGTTGGAGTAGAAAGTGGCTCATCAAGACTTGACTGCTCTGGCAGTTCCGGGAGAGGTTCCATTGCCTGTCTCTCCTAGTGTGCAGAGGCTGCCCATGTACATGGGGCCTTTTGAATAGCATATCGCTCAGCTCTGTATCCGCTGCCTCACATTTCTCTCAGACTCTGGCTCACCTGCCTTTCCTCCGTGGAGCCTCTAGAATCCCCAGAGAACTGCACACTTTCAATAGTCTTAATTTGGCCCCGGAGAGGTAGTAGCTTACCAGTTAAGAGAACTTTCTTTTCTTGCAAAAAAAAACAAAAAAACCTGACTTTAGTTCTAGCACGCATGTCAGGGGGCTGACAACTATCTCTAACTGTAGCTCCAGGAGATCTGATGCCCTTTTCTGACCTCGGGCCCCTGCACACATGTGCTGTGCATTCACATACATACACATAAATAAAAATAAAATTCAATTAAAAATGTTTTCAATTTTACAGTATCCTCTTGGACACAGTAACAGTGTCCAGTGACGGGGATGTGGTTATGCTTGAAGGGCTATCATTCAGATTAGCACACTCTTTATTCAATGAGAATAATTCTTTTGTTTTAAAGGAAAGAGTGCTTATCTAGGCAGACCCCCTCCCAGTACAGCCATGTGATTTGTTGGGCTTGTTGCATCTGGCTTTGTTTCTTACCGGTTCCCTCTTATAGTTACTTGACCTTACCCGGTATACTGCAGTCTGAACCCTACCCTTGCTTGCTCTTAGCACAGTGTCACTCTGGAGGCACTATGACTTGCTCTGGCTCAGTAGTCTGGGGGTGGACTGGAGCTGCAAGAGCCCCAGGTGAATTCAACAGCACTGATGGTTTCAACTGTTGCTGGCCTGGCTGCTTACACCAGCTCAGCCGACAATAGTGCCTGAAATCTCCCACTCTGGGTCCTCCTCACCCCCATCCTTTTGGCAACATTGGTCTGGACCAGGGTTTGCCTTGAGGCTGTATTTTAATAGCTTCCGCTCAGATTCCTGAGAACTCACCCTTATGATAATGTCTTTGATGCTAGGAGTGTAGCAGAAAATAAGACATCCAAACTGAGAAGAGCCTTCACTCAGCCAGGAGTCTGAAGCGAAAATATCAGGAGGTGATGGTTGAAACAAGCAAACAAGCAAACAATCAAACAAACAAACAAAGCCTGAGAAACAGGTTAGACAATGCCCCCAGGACACACAGAATTGCCTTTTTTCGGAGATAACACTGAAGCAGGCAGATGTCTGGGGATGCATGCTCCAGGCAGAGAAAGCAGCCTGGGGTGCAGTGGGAAGAACAGTAAGGAAGCCAGCAGGGACCAAGTGAGAGAAGAGGCAAAGTCCATGAGAATGGGGGGCAGGAGAGGAGAGCACAGTCTATCATCAGAAGCGATTTGCAGAGGTAAGCAGGATGGAAAGAAGAGGGGGTCCATCTGGGTTTTTGGTAACTATTTCATTAAGATTCATATACCATATGATACCCTCATTTAAAATTGGAGGTAAAAGTTCAGTTGTGTGCACAAAGCCCTGGACGTGATACACAGTTCAGCAAAAGAAAAGCAAAAAACAAAACAAAAACCCACCTATTATATAACCCAGTGGTGATGGAGTGTATTCACAGATTGTCCATCACCAGTGTCTGCTTCCATAATATCTTATCGCTGTTTAGGTGATTTTTTAAAACAGGTGCTTATTTCTTAAAATTCTGAAGGATGAAAATTGATTTGGTACGTGATAAAGACCCCTTTCTCATCTGTGGATGGATTCCTCAGAAGAAAAGGGGAGGTGGGTAGGGAGTAAGACTCCAGTGTCCCCTTTTAGAAGAGCACTAGTCTATCACGAGGACTTCATGACCTCATATTCCCCTAAGCCTCATTTGTAAATACCATCGAAACAGGGGTTAGGATTTACACATACATATTTTAGGAGAACACAAGCATTCAGGCCTTAGCCACCACCAGGAAAGTTGCCTGTTAGCAGTTACCACCCATCTTCCCTTCTTGACAGTCACTCATTTGAATTGCCTATCGATTTGCTTGTTTGGAACCTTTCTTAATCAGTGGACCTTTAGTTTTCGACTTTCATGTCTGGCTTGTTTTCCTCAGCATAATGTTTTCAAAGTCCCTCCATGTTGCTGTGTCTATTCACACTTCCTTTTTATGACTGAAAATTTCATTGACTGGGTAGATCATCGTTTGCTGGTTTGTTTGTTGTTATTCTGGGAATAGGGCCTAGGATCTCATACATGCAGGGCAACTACTTTACCACTGAGCTATGTTTCCTACACTCATGTTTCATTTTCCACTTATTAGTTGATGGACATTTGGGTTGTTTGCACTTTGGGGTTATAAAAAGTAGTGCTACTGTGGTCATAAAGGTATATATAAGTTGTTTTATTTTAAGAACATTTTCACAAAATATATAACATATTGTCTACAGGTATAAAATTTTGTATGGAATGGCTCATATTTTGTTAACCCCCTCTGTGTGCAGTGCAGAGGCAGCAAAGGGCATAGTATCCAGCAGTCTCAGCTTCTCTAGCTTTTCTCCTGTGGCCAACCTCTTGGTTTTCCCTTGAATCCCTCCAGCATTCACTGAGACAGATGTTTTTGAATATTTAGCACCTGTCAGTTCCAGGTGCTGACTGGATGCTAGATAGATGAGATAGATAGCAAATGAATGGACATATTCATGTGTGTCATGGGTGAGAGGCTTCAAGAATGCTAGGCTGGGGCTGGAAACATGGGTCATGGGTCAGCAGTTGAGAGCACCTACTGCTCTTGCAAAGGACATGGGTTCTGTTCTCAAAACCCACAAGTTGGCTCACAAGTACCCTCTCAGACCTCAGTGGACTCCTGCATACATGTTAAGGGTGGGCAATGAAGGGAAGCATGGTCCTTGATAAAGTGTAATTCCTAATCCCTAAAAATCAGCTATCTATAAGGTGAGGCCAATTTTATCATAAGAGTAATTATAAGAAGCGAGAGGATCACAGCAAGAAAAGGATATGTGACAACAGAAGCAGAGACTATTGAGAGACATTTGAAGATTCTTACACTACTGACCTCCATAGGTTCTTCTGTGGCGCTTCCTAGAAAAACCAGCCCTGCTGGACTTTAGGACTTCATATTGTAAAATACAAAACACAGCTACTTTTGGGCACTAGGTTTATGGTAGGATGTAACAGTGTCCTTGCAAGAAAATAGTGCATTTTAATTTTTGTTTCACGTGCTTAGCCCAGAATGAAACTATGGTTGAGGGCAGGGATAGTTATTGTCAAGAGGAGAATTAGGTCTTACCAAGGCAGGTTGTTAAGGTCCAGGGTCTTGGAACCTGTCTCTCTCCTTGTTTTCCCTTAACCACTCAGAGCTCTCTGTTTTTCTTTCAGGCTGGATTCTTGAACCTGAAGACCACACATTGCTCAAGGACAAGGGCCTCCCAAAAATGGAACCATCCCCTATTACAGAAAAGGATGGGTTTGCAAAGGTTGTGCCTTGTTGTTCTATGATGGGAATAGATCAGGAAAGTGATGGTCAGAGGCAGGCACTCAAGAAGGACCAGTGTAACTTAGGGCAGTTGAATGACCCCAAAGAGATACCAGTTCAGAGTCAAAGCTACAGAAGTCTTGGACTTGTGGAAACCTGTGTTCTTGGCTTAAAAACAGATATATTACGAGATATTTCTGGAAGAGAGTATGGCTGTACTTATGGCTCACAAGTTAAAAATTCAGAACATAACCCAAGCTTAGTCAGTCAACAGACAGACTCCCCAACAACACAGCCCTTTGATGACAATGGCGGTCAAAAAGTCTTTGATCAGATTGTGCCCATTACAGAACTCACAAAAAGTCAGGTGCAAGATAAACCCTATAAGTGTACTGATTGTGGGAAGTCATTTAACCATAATGCACATCTCACGGTGCACAAGAGAATTCATACAGGAGAAAGACCTTACATGTGCAAAGAGTGTGGGAAAGCCTTCAGCCAAAACTCCTCCCTTGTTCAACATGAGCGAATCCACACTGGAGACAAGCCTTATAAGTGTGATGAATGTGGGAAATCTTTTTGCCACAGTACACACCTTACAGTCCATAGGAGAATTCACACTGGAGAGAAACCCTACGAGTGTCAGGACTGTGGGAGGGCCTTCAATCAGAATTCGTCCCTAGGTCGCCACAAGCGGACTCACACTGGGGAGAAGCCTTATACTTGCAGTGTTTGTGGGAAATCCTTCTCCCGGACCACGTGCCTCTTCCTGCACCTGCGGACTCACACTGAGGAAAGGCCATACGAGTGTAATCACTGTGGAAAGGGCTTCAGGCACAGTTCCTCCCTGGCCCAGCATCAGCGGAAGCACGCTGGTGAGAAACCCTATGAGTGCCGACAGAGGCTGATCTTTGAGCAGGCACCAGCTTTAACAAAGCACAAGTGGACAGAACCCCTCAGCTGTGACCCACCATTGAGTCAAGGTGAAAGGACTCAACGGAGTGAGAGGCCCTTTAAGTGTAGTCAGTGTGGAAAGTGTTTCATTCAGAGTTCTCACCTCATCCGACATCAGATAACCCACAACAGAGAGGAAGAACCACTACGTGGACGTAGCCGAAGGTGGGAACAGCCCTGTAGACGGGGCTCAAGACTCATTCGGAATCCACACTCAAATTCAAGAGAGCTCCCTGTAGCCCAGGCAAAGGCAGGACAAGCAGGCAGAGCTCTGGCCTTGTTTGACCTTCATGAAATTATGCAGGAAAAAAACCCTGTGCATGTTATTGGGGTGGAAGAACCTTCAATGGGCAATTCCATGCTGTTTGATATCAGAGAATCTAGATAGGAAGATAATTCCTTTTTTTTCCCCCTTGGTTTCTCTGTATAGCCCAGGCTGTCCTGGAACTCACTCTGTAGACCAGGCTGGCCTCGAACTCAGAAATCCACCTGCCTCTGCCTCCCTAGTGCTGAGATTAAAGGCGTGCACCACTACCGCCCCGCTAGGAAGATAATTCTTTAGCTAACTTCTGAGTTACCAGGCACAAACATTACATCCACATAGTGTAGGGGTGGCAAGAGAAGATGGCATATCAGTAGTGACCTCTGACTGCATAAGGAAAGTGGTGCCTCCCACACAGTTGAGGTTGGTGGTTCTCAAGTGTATCAAATTCAGTTCCTGTTTAACTTTGTTTTCTGAAACAAGGCCTCACTGGCCCAAGCTAGCCTCAAACTCATTATATATCCAAGGATGACCTTGAATTTTCTGATCCTTCTGTCTTCATTCACCTCCCTAATTCTGGGATCATGGCTGTATGCCACTATACCCAGCAACAACAGACACCTTGAGATATCTTCTCCATTATCCCAAAATGAGTTGACCAGTAATAAAACCTCTGCGCAGGCATAGTGTGGAAATAACATATGACCCCTGTTGTGTGTAATTTTAAAAAACAAGCTTCTGCCTATGCCCAAGACTGTAGCCCTCGATCCTGTCTTAGTTCCAAGATTGGCTGTCACCAGTCCCACTCCCAACTTGTCTGTTCCTCCTGGCTTAGCTCTGCCAACGATGGCCAGCTATCGCCTTTCCTGGGAGCTGCAATCGCTCCCCTGAGTTCTTTGTAAAGGATAGTTAAGGTAATTTATGGTGTACTATGTCAGTGTGGTATCTTACCATGTCCCATGTGGGCCTATTTTTACCAGGAGATCATGATCTGAAACTTTCAGACTGGTTCAAGGTATACCGCTGTCTATAAAAACTACCATAAGGGATTATATCATGCCAAAGTGATTTTGCAAAATAGTGATGAATTCTTATGAAAGTTTGAACAAAACAGAATGCTATTGTATTTATGGGAAACTCTGCCTAAATCGTAAATGTACACAAAGTAATGTGTGTTTCTATGTGAATTCAAGCCAGAATCCTAGTTTATGTATCACACAGGATAAGTCACAGTGTGGCTCAGTTTCGCACTTAACAGTCATTGTAGCATGCTTGGGCCCTAGGCTCATTTCAGTATATCATCTAACAGAATTACCCACAGAATTCTACAACATCCTCTAAAGGAGTCACAGCTCCTGTGAAAACCACTATCTTGAAATATCTAGGGTTGTTGTTAGTCAGAGGTACCCACCTACACTAATTTGTCCTCAGAGGACATTTGGTAAGGTGTGGAGTTATTTTTGTCCCTGCAACTTGAACTGGTATCTAGGCAGAGACCAAGGATACTGCTCAACATACTTAAGTGCCCAGGGCAGCTCTTCAAAGAATTTTCTAGCCCCAAATATCAATAGTATCAATATGGAGAAGCCCTGATATAAACTCAACCCAGAAGGTTGGGGTGTGGCTCAGTAATAGAACACTAGCCTGGCATGTAAACGGCCCTCTTGTTCAGTCTCCTGTACAAGAGACAGAAATAATAACTCACCTTTTCTAAACTGTAAATTGATTGAACAATGCTGTACTAATTGTCATGTGAGTTGTTCTTAGCAAATAGAGTCATGAGTGTGTGTGTGTGTGTGTGTGTGTGTGTGTGTTAAGTAAATTTATATTCAGGGTGAAAAATTCCTTTATATTTCTGTATAGTCTTTTAGCACTTAACAATGGATGTTCTAAAAGACAAATGATATATTTTCACTGGGTCTCCCACCCACCTCCTCACCCCTGTCCCTCTCTGTATTATTTTCACATCCACCCCAGAAAGTTCTTTTGTTCATCTCTGAAAATATTTGTAAAAGGGTAAGACTTTAAGTATATATAACCATAACCACATTGATCCACGGGGACAAAGCTTTTTGCATAATCACAGTAAGCCCATCATTTTGGGGTTTTGCCATGTTGGTGTTTGAGCAATACTTTTGGGCCAGAATTTGAATGAAAGCAGTGACCTCGGGTTATTGATTGTACTCTTCTCAACTGGAACAAAAAATATTTAGGGAGAAGTTACTCTTTTACATCTCAAGGGAAAACATTACTTATATCTAACAGATACCATCAAATGTCTAACATCCACATATTCCTGGTTGCTTCATAAACTTCATGTTTGTTTTATTCTTTCCATAATCTACACAAGATCTACACAGTGTGTTTGGCTTCTTTCTTAAATCTTTTAGTTGTGCTGTTTCTTAGTCTTTTTGTTACTTGAATAACTTTGATATGGTGAACTGATTTCCAGTTTGGTATCAAGTCACTGAGCTGTGCTAAGGGAGTGCCCCTTAAGATCACATGACTCCCATTGTTCTCATGAGGTTGCTGCAGGACTATTGGAAAGCCTCCTGTCAGCTCTCAGTGCCAAAAATAGCTTTATTATACAAAGCAAGATGCTTTTTTAAAAGATTCATTTCTTTATTTTATATATGTATGAGTGATATTTCTGCAAATAGAGCTGGCATACCAGAAGAGGGCATCGGATCCCATTACAGATGGTTGTGAGCTATCATGTGGTTGCTGGGAATTGAACTCAGGACCTCTGGAGGAGCAGTCAGTACTTTTAACCACCGAGCTATCTCTCCAGCACCCCAAAGCAAGATATTCTAATAACCATTTTAATATTTTCAGTTTAATATTTTAGAACTTCACCCTTATCTAATTGCTTTCCTCCACATATTCTCTTAAGGAAAAAAAAAAAAGGAAGGGGGGGGGAGGTTCCCAATCTGTGTCCATGCAGTTCCTGACAAAAAGAACATTTATTGTTTTCTCTAGTTTCTCATAGAGCGAGGGAACCTACTTAACCTAAAAGGAAACAAACTGTGACATGCACAAGTCAGCTACCGTCAAATGTTTGTCCCCCAGGGACACTGAATCAGATATTTTGGTTGTACAGAACAGCTGCCTGTCAATACACTGCCTTGAACAGTCATCCCAATAACACAGCAGTAGTTCTTGCCACTGTGTGGGAATGGTCCAGCATCAGAGCCCCTGGCCATCACAGTTTCTTACCTTTGTTCTTATCTAAGAACCCCAAAACTGATGAGGTCTCCTTTAGAGTACACCTGGCTCCCAGGATACTTTGGATCAGTGTTTTCATTAGTCCCCAGGGTTCCCACAAGACCCTGTGGATGTCCTGAATTCGCTTCTCTGCACTCACATTTCCCTCTGAAGCTGGCCTCTCATTTCTTTTGCCAAGTCTGACTTTTCATAACAACTCACCTGTTATGCCTTGGCTGGTAGCTTTTCATTCACAAAGCTAAGAAAAGGAGCATCAGCTGGCTTACTTTGTGCTAGCTCTATGAAATAGTAGCATGTTCTAGATGAGCCAGGAAGTGTGACACAGGCCTTTAATCCCAGCACTTAGGAGGCAGGGGCAGAGGCAGGCAAATCTGTTAAGTATGAGGCCAGCCTGGTCCAAGATATAAAGGATTACACAGAGAAACCCTGTGTCAAAGTCGAGAGAGAGAGAGAGAGAGAGAGAGAGAGAGAGAGAGAGAGAGAGAGAGAGAATGTGCAACCATATTCCATATTCTAAATGTAGAAAACTAGGCCCAGAGCAAATATTACTAATTACCAGAACAAAGGTAATTAGGTATGTTACATTAGAAAGTAATGGAGTCAGACTTTCATATGAGCACCCCAGTTTACAATAAAGATTTCAGTGACTTGCTTATGTTGGAGGTGCTGCTGTGGTTTTTTGCCTTTTTCTCATGGTCTTGAGCAAACTGCTAAAACCTCAGTCATTATATCTGTAATCAGTACTGGGAGAAATAGAAAAGTAGGAGCAGGCCAATACTCACCTTTCTTACGATATTTCAAAGAAAGGCCTTCCCAGAAGCCTTAGTCATATACCCACTTATAATTTGCTGGCCAAAAATGAGTCACAGGGCCATCTGTCATAAGTCTGACATGGTGGTGTTTAGCTTTCCTAACCTCTGGTGGCTGCAGGTAAGAGACGATTGAGAAGGGCTCTGTCCTTTTCCTCTTCCAGTCCCTGGAAAGAGTCACCCATGCTCCCCATTTCCCCAGTGCCAACTTTCACCTCAGGCCTCTCCCCTGCTGCTTCACAGAATCAGTTGTGCCCACAACTGGGTGCTGCCATCCCTCAATGGCCCCTCTGCTGTCCCCCAGCTTGCAAGCAAGGTGGGGAAGGAGGGGTGGGTACAGAGCAAATCCATGCACTGGGAGCCTGCTCAATACTCTTGCCTCCATCGTAAGTAGCAAAACGTTTCTTTCTCACCTGGGAGTCTCTGTGAGGAACTGAATTTGGTTGAGATTGCTGTACTAGTGATTTTCTCCCCAAAGCACTTACATCTTTATGATGCAGTTCCCTCAATGCATGCATCCTGTGGCTGCTCTCTATGACGTTTAATAGCATGGAGCTGAGGCTGTTAAACAGACTCAGTGCACCGTTTCACTTTGTATGGAGCTCAAAGACAGGCAAACTTGCAGACAGTTTAGCAATTCCCAACAGTAAAGGCCTCCAAGTCAGGCACCTTGCCTAGACGTCTGGGAGCTGTCTGTGATGTTGAAATGGCCTACAACCCACCCCCATCCCACCCTCAGCTGTCTCACGTAGTTAGTGTTAGTTAGCTAAGACTGGTTACATTCAAATAAAATGACAAAGGCTGAGGAAGGATTATAGTTTAGGGGTTGAAGTTGTGCTTAATGTGAATAAAGTTCCAGGTTCCCCATCACCAAAAAAATAAGCAAAATATGGCTGACAAGATGGAAAAGTGGGTAAAAGTGCTTGCTGCCAAGACTGAGTTTGACCTGCAGAACCCACTTGATAAAAGAACTGACTTCCATAAGCTGTCTCCTTACATTTTCACATGCATTGTGGTACATACCCCACAACACACATGAATACACACACACACACACACACACACACACCAAATAAATGTGATTTTAAAAAATTACCGCTGGGCGGTGGTGGCGCACGCCTTTAATCCCAGCACTTGGGAGGCAGAGGCAGGCAGATTTCTGAGTTCGAGGCCAGCCTGGTCTACAGAGTGAGTTCCAGGACAGCCAGACCTACACAGAGAAACCCTGTCTCGAAAAACCAAACCAAAAAATAAAATAAATAAAATAAAATAAATAAAATAAAATAACGTATGTGGGTATTCTGCCTGCTTGTATATCTGTGCAGCATTTGTGTGCCTGGTGCCTACGAAGGCCAAAAGAGGGCACCAAAACTCCTGGGGCTGGAGTTAGATGGTTGTGAGCCATCTGAGGATGGACCTCACTCACTCGCACCGTGCATACTCCAACTTCCCACGCATCCCACAACTTCTACTCACAGCCACCTCTGTCTCAACAAACACCAGTCTGGAGTTACCGTCCTCCCCAAACCCAAACCCTAGCAGGCATTCAGAACTACAACTCCCAGCGGGCCCAAGGAATTGGCGCTGTGCTTTCTGGAACTTGTAGTCGACGTGACGTACTCTGAGGCCATTCGCCTGTACTAGGCACGTTAGGAGTTGTGGTCCCTGGGCAGGAAGGCGCATGTATGTGCGTCATCAGGGCGCCTCTGGAAGTGTCTGCTGGGAGTTTGGAGACCGGGTGAGCGCGGGAACCGTGTCATGAAGGGGTGAGAGCTGCGAACGCCCACGGCAAACCTAACGGCCTGTGAGTACAGCATAGAGTGTGGGACTGACTGACTGAAGTGTGGGACGGCTGACGGAGTGTAAGTCTGACAAACCAAAAGTGGGACTGGCCGACCAAGGTTGTATGTGCTACAGAGATTGTGCTGCGTCTAATGTGTCGTGGCCTTGTAGATCACGTCGAGTGACTGATGAAGCGACTGACAGAAAGAGCTTTTCGACGGACTTTGAGATGGGTTTGTGACTGAGTTCAGCCATGAGTGAAATCCTCTGTGTCTGGTTGAAATGCCGACTAACATGGTCTTCCTGCCTCTGCCTCCCAAGCACTGCAATTACTGGTGTAAACCACCACGCCAAACATTTCAGCTGCTTTCTTTACCTATTCTTATTTTATATGCGTTAGAATTTTGCCTGCATATATGTGTGAGGGTGTCAGATCTTGGAATTACAGACAGTCGTGAGCTGCTGTGTGATTGCTGGGAATTGTACCTAGGTCCTATGGAAGAGCAGTCAATGCTCTTAACCGCCGAGCCGCCTCTTCGGCCCCTTGAGCTGCTTTAATTCCACCATAAAACATATATTAATTGAGCCAGGCGTGGTGGCCCATGTTCTTTTCGAAGACAGCCTCGTCTATGTATCAAGTTCCAGGCCAGCCAGGACTTTATAGTAAGTCCCTGTATCCTGGTTGTTTTTGTTCGGTTGGCTTAGTTTGGTTGGTTGTTTATAGCTTGATGAAAGCTAGAGTTATCTGGGAAGAGGAACCTCAAGTGAGAAAACACCTCCAAGAGATGACTTGCAGGCAAGTCTTTAAGGGCATTTTCTAGATTAATTATTGATGTGGGAGGACCCAGCTCAGGTGCCAGCCCTGAGAGGGGTGATCTTGGGTTATATAAGAAAACAGGCCGGGCAGTGGTGGCGCACGCCTTTAATCCCAGCACTTGGGAGGCAGAGGCTGGCGGATTTCTGAGTTCGAGGCCAGCCTGGTCTACTGAGTGAGTTCCAGGACAGCCAGGCCTACACAGAGAAATCCTGTCGCAAAAAAAAAAAAAGAAAGAAAAAAGAAAAGAAAAAGAAAACAGACTGAGCAAGCCTCAGGAAGCCAGCATTCCACCATGTCCTGCTTCAGTTTTTGCAACCAAGTTCCTATCTTGAGTTAATACCCTGGCTTCCTTCAAAACTGGACTCCAAACTGGGCTGTAATTTGTGAGGAAAATAACCACTCCAACTTGCTTTTGACCAATGTTTTATCACAGCAATAGAAGGTGCAAACTAAGACAAACCTGTCACAAAATACACACGCACACTCACACACACACACATATATATGTGTGTGTGTGTGAGTGTGTGTGTGTAATATATATTAATTTATATTAATATATTAATTTATTTGCTGATTTTATCTTGACTAATTTTTTAAAATATTAGTTTGTACTTTGGATTGACTGCAGTATCAGAGACAATATGGACCTTTCTGGGGTATACTTGAGTATTCTGATGACTACGGAAAGGTTTGCTGCTATGCTATCTAACAGGAGCAGAGTGAAGCCCTGCAGTATAAGTACCAAGCTTCTGAGGGAAGTGTTATCCCTTGATGTTAGTAGCTTCCCTATCTAGAAATGGGGATTGATTCTGAAGCAAACTAATACTGAAGTCAGAAGGCAAGAGGATTGTAAGTTCTATAATGTAAGGAGAACTAGTCTTAAAATGAAATGTAATTTTGAGCCAAAACGTATGACCACTTTAAAGCTCTTACTGTGTGTGTGTGTGTGTGTGTGTGTATGTGTGTGTGTGTATGTGTGTGTGCGCGCGCCTGTGTATACACACAGAGGAGCCATGGCACATGTGTAAAGGTCAGGGGACGACTTAAAGGAGTTGGTTCTGTTCTTTTACCATATGGTTCTTAGGGGTTGAATTTAGGTTGTCAGGCTTAGCAGCAAGCACCTTTACTTGCTGAACCATTTCACCAACCCATTGCATACTTTTTGTAAAGGGCATTTAGCTGACTGTTACCCGCTAGGAATACATGAAGTGGGTTCTCATCAGCCCCGAGCAGCAGTTACTATTCACTGTTTTTCTGCATTTGGAAAAGCTGAACGTCATCCCCCATAAAGGAAAGACTGGAGGGCATCAGATGCATGAGGTCCAAGACCAGGTGTCCATTTACTGACAAAAAAATAACCCTAGAGGCTAATTCAGTTTCCCGGCTTTTAAAATGAAGTCATACTGATTCATAGAGCATCATGTGTTAACAGACAAAAGAGGCTAGGGCCACATAGCACATAGTTCCTGGGGCCTGTCCTCATTTTCTCCTGTTCCTGTTCTACGTCGTAATATAGTTGTTACTTTATCAACCAGCTCATATCTGTCTAGTAAAGGCACTGAGCAGAGGTCCCATGTCTTCCTCATCTTGGCATCCTTAGCAGATCTGGGTACCAAGAAGATACTCAGTGAAGATTTATTAAGCAAAACTGGCATTTACATATGTGTAGGCTATAAGGTAAACTGAAGCCCCTTTACCTCCTTAGTTCGTCTCTCTGCCCCCTCCTTTTTGTGGGACGAGCAGTGGCTTGCTAAGTAGCTCACACAGTCTTCAAATCCTCCTGTTTCATCCTCTCAAGTGCTGGGATTACAGTCATGTGTCACAATGCCTGGACCGAAAAGCCCCCGACTCTCTTTCCCTCTTGCCCTTGCTCCCTCACTCTCTTCCCCGTCTCTCTCCACATGCTCATGGCTGGCCTCCTCCTCCTCTTTTTGTTCTTCTTCCCTCCCCCCTTTCTCCCCTCCCCATGCCCTGAGTAAACTCTATTCTATACTTTAAAAAAAGCCCCTGCCGTGAGGGCAGATGGATAATAAGCAATCGTATAACTGTGCCATATGTCAAGTGGTGGAGAGCAATGAGAAATAAAGCAGGGTAGAAGGCAGAGCCTCTGCAGAATTACCTTTCTGTATAGAGGCCTGATTGAAGGAAGGGAAGGATGCCTGAAGGAAGACTCTGAAGGACAGAGTGCCCAGCATCATGGAGATCCACATAAGCATAAAACCTACCATTTATTTATTTATTGTTGAGAAAGAAGAGTCCTGCCGGGCAGTGGTGGCGCATGCCTTTAATCCCAGCATTTGGGAGGCAGAGACAGGCGGATTTCTGAGTTCGAGGCCAGCCTAGTCTACAGAGTGAGTTCCAGGACAGCCAGGACTACACTGTCTCGAAAAACCTAAAAAAAAATAGAAATAAGCACAACAGAAATTAGAAAATATTTTAAAGTAAATGATAATAAAGTTGGGTATGATAGTACATGCTTATAATCCCAGCACCTGGGAGGCTATTATAGCAGAAGGATTTCCATTTCAAGGCCCTCATGGCCTATATAAGAGATCCTAGGGCTGGAGAGATGGCTCAATGGTTAAGAGCACTGACTGCTCTTCCAGAGGTCCTGAGTTCAAGTCCCAGCAACCACATGGTGGCTCAAACCATCTGCAATGGGATCTGTTGCCCTCTACTGGTGTGTCTGAAGAGAGCAATGGTGTACTCATATACATAAAATAAATAAATGAATTTTTTTAAAAAAGATCCTAGCATAAAATGTATAGCTTTAAGCACATGCACTTTATTTTAGACTTTTATATTTATTATGATATAGCATTCACACCACAGCATAACATCTTCAAGAGTCAGTCTTCTTCCACCCTGCAGAGTCATTGAATCTGTTCTTTGACAATGTCATCCATATATGCCATGCATCCTGATTACTGTAACCCCTCCGCCGTCTTCCTCCCACCTCAGTTGTCCCCCCATCCTCCTTACAGATCTTCCCATACTCATGTTTTGTTTTTGAGGCCCACAGAATTTAATCAGGGCCATCTGTGACCATGAATTTGAAACTTTCTGCTGGAGCTTAGTGGGTTCCCCTCTGTTGTACATTACAAATGCATGGAACCACTGAGTATCCTCCTTAACTCTGAGTGGGCACTCACATGGTCGTTATACTCATCTCTTTCTAGTGTGACAATAAGTATTTAGGTGGCAAGCACCTTTACCAGGTAATCCATCTCACTGGCCCAAATACATATGTTTAAAAAGAAGCGAGGTATCGAGTCAGGCATGGTAGTACAGGCACAGGATGAGGCAGGATGATGATGAACTGGAAGCCAGACTGGCTATCTCAAGCCTGCACCTCCCCTCCCTTTTTTCAGATGGTGATGAAGCTCTAACATTTCTTCAGACCCAGTTCTGAGGCTTGAGTCATCCCTGTGACTCACTGAATTCTTCCGCCCAATGGCCATCCCCAAGAGCCCTCTGAGCCCAGTACTCTGGGAACAGGATAGCTTCCTTCAGGTGAAGGTGAAAGAGGAGGAAGAAGCTAGCGACTCCCAGAGCCAGGAATCCAGCCCTAGCTTTACTGCCCACCCTGAGGCTGCACGCCTGCGCTTCAGGCACTTCCGCTATGAGGAGGCATCCAGCCCCCATCAGGCGCTAGCCCAGCTGCGAGAGCTATGTTGCCAGTGGCTGAGGCCAGAGTCGTCCTCCAAAGAACAGATGCTGGAGTTGCTGGTGCTGGAGCAGTTCCTGGGTGCACTGCCCCCTGAGATCCAGGCCTGGGTGGGTGCTCAGTGCCCAAAGAGTGGAAAGGAGGCCGCCGTTCTGGTGGAGGATATGACTCAACTGCTGGACAGGAGAGGTAAGAGGGAGCAGCAGGCAGGTGGTCACTGATAGCTCAGGCACAGCCTGGCTGCAATGTCAAGCCCTAGGTCGCTATTGCTCGGGCACTCAGTCTCACATTTGTACCTTAGCCATGGTTACAAGTGACCAAATCCCAAGCAATTGAGGGGAAGGGGCGTAGATACAGCAGTATCCAGAAGGAGTATCACTGAAGGAGTGAGCACTTGACACTGAGCTGGCTTGCGCTTACACTCTCACATACTATATCTCCGCTAGGCTGGATTTTTCTGCGGTTAGTTTTATTTGTTTTTTAAAAGACAAAGTCTTTTGTACCCAGGCTCACTTCAGATTTGCTACATAGCTGAAAATGACCTTGAACTCCTGATCCTTCTGCCTCCACCTTCCAAATGCTGGGGTTACAAGGATGTACCACCACACCCAGCTTTAGGTAGTACGGAGTCAAACCCAGGGCTTTCATACATGTAAGTAAGCACTGCTGAGTTACACCCCCAGCTTCCTACCATCTCCCTAAGGTGAGCAAAGGTAGCCCATCAGTCCCTGACTTGTTTTTTACCTAAGTGGACAGGGGGAAACAGCAAGCGTTGTCTATTGTGAGCCTCACCGAACCAGTCAGATCTTCTGTTTGCCTTTGGCCAGCAAATCCCAGGAACTAACAGTAATCCAGAGGCACTTCCCCCAAGGAAGTGTAAGCTACTGACCCAGATGAAATGACTGGATCCCTTGAGAGGGCTGGTAAAAGAAATAAGTATCCCTGTGTACTCTCTTGTAGCCTTTCCTGTGCTAGCCTATCTGAGGATCAGGAGTGGTTAGATGCCCTCAGCTGGAATGGTCACTTGTCATTCTAGGAGACTCACACATATATCCCAGCCCAGAGAAGTTTAGTAGGATGCAAGGACCCAAGCACTGTACAATCTAGACCAGAAGCTTCCAGAGCAAGTCCCATTCTGGCTGCAAGCTAACTGATCAAGTACAAATGCCTCAGCATATCTATTAATTCTGTGATTTGTTTGTTTATTGAGGAAGGGTCTTATGTAGCTCTTGGATTGGAACTACTGTATAACACTATAGCTTGGAACAAGCTTTGTAGACTAGGCCTGCCTTGAACTCAGATTCTCTTGGCTCCATCTCCCAAGTGGTGGGACTAAAGGCATGCTTGACAGTGCCTAACTGATCCTGTGATCTCATAACAGGGACTCAGCACCTCAGTCTCCTCATCTACAATGGAGCCACTGAGTACCTCCTGGAATGGAAATGAGGCAGTGGAAGTTACACACTGCACTTGGAATGTAGCACATAACAAAACCCTGACATAAGCCAGCAGCCCCGGCAGGCAAGCAGTATCACCGACTGAGGTCCAGATGATGGCAGTGTTGTTTATGGATTGGCCACTTGGCCGCTCAAAGTCTGGGCTTAGAGCTGTGTTTATGAATCCACTCAGCTCAACTGTAGTCTAGAATAATAACTATTGCATCCTTCTCTGACTCATCCCTGGGATTCATCTGTAAATGTTGCCAGATGTAGCATGGTCAGATACCCTTTGCACCTGTGAGGGGGGCTGGTCAGTGCAGGTGTGCCTCTCCTTCCTATTACTCGGCGCTTCAGAAGCAGATGTCTGAATTCTGCTGTGAGAAATTACAGTCACAGGCATCTGGACTGAGTCTCGTTTGGCCACTATTCCCAAAGACAGCTGCTGAGTTTAAGGGACAGCCTAGACTCACAGTGGCCTGCCTAAGCTTGCAGGGAGGAGGCATACAGGTGCCTGAGCACAGGTACTTGACAAGGACACCTCCCTTCACTCTTGTTCCATTCCAACCTTGTCCCCATGAACGCTTTCCTACTGGCATTTTAGCCAGATCAGGAGCCGTGGCAAAATGGATGGCCTGGTTGAGGGTGGAAAAGTCAGAAACCTGAGGCAGTTTAGGGTCGTATAAGAGGACAAACCGGAATCCTTTCTCTTACCCAAGACTCCAAGGGGGAAATTTCCTTTTGGAAATGAGGCCATGTGAGAAGAGTGAGGCACAGCTTCCCTTTCAGAGTAGGTGATCTGGGCCTCAAGCAGATGAAGAGGCTTATGTGGTGATCCGTGGTGAAAAAATAACAGTGTGCTTTTTAAATAATTCCAGGATGGGAGCCGGGAGCGGAACGTGAAGAGGCAAGTTGCAAACAGAGCAATACCGATAAATTGGAGCCACCAGAAATGGCCACTGAGACCGTCATGGGAAGCACTTCCCCAGAATCTACCCTTGCCCACACTTGTAAACCTGAGAGCAGCTCAGAGAGCCAGCCAGAGCGCATAGGAGAACTCTGGATGAAGTCTACTGCCCAAGAGATGGATTTCAGAAAAGCTCTGGGGCCTCCCATAGATGCCTCCAGTGACCAGCCTGTACAAGAGTCTGATGCCTCAGAAAACGGTTCCAACATGTGGCCCAACTTCCCTTCCCAAGACAAGGCTTCTTCAGAGGAGAAATTTGGCCCATTGCTTGATAATGAGACAGTGCCTCCAGAGACATACTCAGAGAAGTCTTCCAAGGATAGTGAATGTGTGAAAACATTCCAGAACACTTCGGCCCTGGAGGCCCACCAGAAGAGCCACTCTCAGAAGACGCCCTATACCTGTACTGAGTGTGGGAAGGTATTCAGTCGGAGCACCCACCTTGTCCAACACCAGGTTGTTCACACAGGAGCAAAGCCTCATGCATGTAAAGAGTGTGGTAAAGCCTTCAGTCGAGTTGCCCACCTGACCCAGCACCAGAGGATTCACACTGGGGAGAAGCCTTATAAATGTGAAGAATGTGGCAAAACCTTCAGCCGCAGCACCCACCTCACGCAGCATCAGCGGGTACATACAGGCGAGCGGCCCTACGAGTGTGATACGTGCGGCAAAGCCTTCAGCCAGAGCACCCACCTGACACAGCACCAGCGCATCCACACTGGGGAGAAGCCCTACAGGTGTGATGTGTGTGGGAGAGCCTTCAGTGACTGTTCAGCTCTGGTCCGGCACCTGAGAGTCCACTCCGGAGAGAAGCCTTATCAGTGTAAGGACTGCCCAAAGGCCTTTGCACAGAGCTCCTCCCTCAATGAGCACCAGCGCACTCACACGGGTGAAAAGCCTTACAAATGCAGTGACTGTGGGAAAGCTTTTAGCCGCAGCTCAGCTCTCATGGTGCACCTAAAGATCCACATCACCGTGACTCGAAGCACCCCTTAGAGTCCAGCACAGCCTCCCGGAGAGGCTGGACATCCATGGCTTGATAACTGTGCTACCCAGTGTCTAAGGGCAGAGTGTGGCTATCTGGGAACACCTCTACATTGGAGGTCCCAGGGGAAGTCCCCTAATGAACACGGATTCAGACCAATTGCTGACACTTCTAGAAGCTTCCAACTGCCCTCCATATCCCACTCAGGCTGGTCCCAGAGAGAAGATACTAGTGAACTAACCATCTGCATTGTTTCTTGGAAGCAGAGCAAGTAAAGGCAGGTGTCTTTCCAGGCTCAGATGGCCCAAGATCCTCAAGGCAGAAAGGCTCAAGCTTCAGGTTCTTACATGGCTACTGTTCTTGCCGGTTCCTTTGATGGTCAGCCTAGAATGGCCCACTCTGTGCCTTCACACCTGCTTCCCCACCATATTACTTTATGCCTAACTCCAAGACAGACTTGGGAGGCTGCCTCCCCATGCCATCCCTCTCATGTTCTCCCTGCTTTAACCCACGTGATGCTTGACACTTGCCTAGTATCTGTCTTCTCCTCCCACATCTTCCTTCCACATCTCACAGGCTCCAGCCCTGTGGATTCATCATGAATCCCTGTGGATTCACCTCAAGCTCATCTCTAATCTAGCTCCTCCTCCAGCATCACGTCCTGTGAGCGCACCTTGCCTCCCACTGGATTTTTATCAGGGCTCTCCTTTCTCACCTCTTCCTGCCTTCATTCCATCCCCACCCACTTTTCTGGCGCATCTTTTTCTGCTACCCAGATCACATTGAATCATTCCATGACACAGTATGTTGTCAGTGAGTCACCTCTTCAACAAACAAGCATGCCAGGATACATGTCACTTTGACCCAAGCAATTACTCTAGTTATCTTCCAATGTATATATAAATGTTGTCATTTGTCTTTGAGCAGAGTGTGTGAAAGTAATTTCAAAGTACTGGTCTGCCTGTTGGGCAGACTCCACTCCTTGTCTGTTGTCTTGTGTTTGCTCCAGACCTGGCCTCCTCTTGCCTCTTCCACTCCTCGTAGCCTCACCTCCCACATGCCAGTCATACTTTCCCCTGCCTGTGTGCCTTTTTATCTGTCCCTGGGACTCTGGGGCCTTTTTTCCTCTATGTTGTCTTCGATATCCTTGAAAAGCTTCCCCAAACACTTTGACCTTACCTTATCTTGCCTGACACTCTCTTGCTGCTGGAGTACCCCGTTATTAGCTGTCCTAAACCTCTTCCCATGTCATTGTGCTTGCACTTCTTACACAATGTATAGGCCCCCGCTCCCAAAGTATTTTTTGCTGTGGACACAGTGTACAAGATGCAGCAAATGCTTCCTAATGTCTCTAGTCTGAGTGTAACTATACCTCCCTTAGGTCGTCACTGTCCTCCACCCCATGTTTTCTTAATAAAGACATTTATGGAAGAGCCCCTGTGCCCATATAAGTCTGCTGCAGTGGTCAAAACAAAACATGGCTATACTGAGCCTTCCTTGCCTCAGGTCCTGAAGCCCTGAGTACCATAGACTTAAGGGATGCCAGCACTCTGCTGATCCTAAAATCATAACCTGTTTACTTTGCCTGCCTTCCTTTCTTTCAGAAAGACAATCCCTTGGCTCCTGTGCCTCCTGAGTAATATGAGTGACTTTACAAGGTTTTCAGTCACTGATGTATGTGAGCTACTGTATCTTCATTAGCATAATACATTTTGTTTTCCTAAACCTCCCATGTCTTCTCTTGTGGCTTCATCTGATTGACTGTCACATACAAGAACATAAGCCCCACCCCAGGATAATTGCAAGCTGGAGTATTTCAATAGAAAGTACTAGAAATCCTACCATGTGGGCAGGGACTGCATATGGGTTGGGCTTCTCCAACATCTACATTTGCTTCTGTGTTGCCAGTGGAGGGAGTCCTCCAAGCAAAGGTTCACACCGCAGGCCCAAATACAGGGCTGGGCTGTTCCAGCGGTGTCAGGTGCAGAGTACATAGATAGGACTAAGAACCTGCCTCAGTTTGTAGAGCTGCAGATCCCTGTATCTGTGGTGCAGCTGTAGCATGAGGCAGTTTGGAAACTGTGTAAACACAAGTTTATACTCGTGGGCCTTCTCTTCACAGGAAGGTCAGGCCAGTCACAGGCACCCACTGGGTTCTGATCTAACAGCTGTGAAGCCTTTAGTCCCAAGGCTCTCAGACCAAGAGCTGTAACACAGCCTGCATTGGAGGATTGAGAAATCTCAGTACCTAAGATTACCTGTTCTATACAATGCCAGCTGCCACTGAGGGCTGAGCAATCCAGACATTTAGACCTACAGGAGCTCTAACACTCTAAGGTCAAAGCTGGGAAGATCCAACTTTTCACAAAGGATTATAACACTAGGGGGCGCCCGTCTGCTGCTGGTCTTACACAGGCCTTGAAACTAGATCCAGCACCAAGGGAAACTAATGCTACCAATCTCGGCACAAACGGTCTAATAGCCTACCCCTGAGTCTATCTGGGTAGAGTAGAAACACCGCAATAGGTTGGTGGTTAACACAAAAGTGCCTAGTCCAAGGCTACCCCAGCTTTCTGGTCACAGGTCATCTTCACCCCAACTGACAGTTCCCAAGTTCAAACCTAGGCTGGCTATGAGTCCCAATGAGGACATGACTGTCCTTTTTGTGCAGGCGCAAGTTCCTTCTGCACCTGTGTGTGTCTCTTCATGGTCTCTCCGTGGACACTTAGAGCTACAGTGTCAGACTCTACCCTTATAGGGAAAAGCAGGCAAGAAACATTTAGGAAAGAAAACGATTGAGGGACATATTCCTGAAATTAGCTCTAGATCTTGCAGGGAGAGAGGTAATGGACTCCTCCAGCCTCTTTGAGTTGAGGACATTGGAGTTAAGTCTGAAGCAGACAGAAAATGCCTTAAGCCGACTGGAAAGGGAAACAGCAAGTGGCCAGCAAAAGGCCAGGTGGCGGGACACAGTAGCGAAGTGGAGGCTCTCCCGGCGTAGGCCACCAGAAGTATGTACCGCACTAACAGCCTTAGACTACCATGACTGGTAATAGGCCGGAGTCCCTTCCTGAATTTCAATCTCCCAGCCACTACGGGGTCCAGGAAGCCTTCAGATCAGCAGGGAACTGGATAGCCCTAGTAAAAACGCAGAGCAGAACCGTAGCGAAAGATCCGGAAGTGTGCTGTTTCGCGTCTCCTCCCTAACCCCACGTTTGGGGAGAGAATGGCAGCCCCAGTAAGGGACGGAAGGTCTCCGTCTTAAAGACCAGAGCTGCCGGACTAAACAGGATGTCACATACTCATCGGCTGAGAACCAGAAGCGACATCCTCTTCACCTCCGTCGTTTAGGTGTTGGGACCAGACCAAGAACAGGGGAGGGGGGACAGCGCAAGGCCTCGTGGGAAATTCCTCGTTCTATTCCATCCCTTCCGTAAATTGATTTGGGGAGGAGGAATTAACGGCAACAGAATCAGACACGCCTCTCATCCCCAGTGGGCTGTTAACCTACGTTAACAAGGAGATGGTGACCGCAGAAACGGCCTACCAATCTCCCACCAGGCTCAGGTAAATGTTGAAAGACTACTGGAAAGTACTAAAATGTCCCAGTATCCAGGCTAGTGAAATCCCATCTCTAGATGTGGAGTTCCCTCGGTAACTATATGTGCATCCTGCATAAAGAAGAACCAAAACACTGAGCAGTTTCAGCGCATACCATTAATCCCAGCACTTGGGAAGCAGAGGCAGGCAGATTTCTAAGTTCAAGGCCAGCCTGGTCTACAGAGTGAGTTTCAGGACAGCCAGGGCTATAGAGAGAAACCCTGTCTCAAAACACCACCACCACCACCTCAAAAAAAATAAAGAAAAGAAAAACCAAAGCCCCCAAGGTGGTGTGAAACCTATTCTCCTGGTCTTGGATATAATGACCTGTAGAATGACCTGGTCAAGCCAACTGCCTTTTGTTGATTTTCATAAACCCCCCCCACACACACACACACAATCTATCCTGTATTTTCTACCTTTTTCTGATTTTGTTATTTTGAAACAGGATTTCATATAGCCCAGACTGGTCAAGAATCTTGAGAGCTGGGCCTGAAGAGTTGGCTCAGTGGCTAAAAGCACTGGCTGCTTTTCCAGAGGATATGGGTTTGTTTTGCAACACCCACATGGTGGATCACAACCATCCATAACTCCAGTTAACAGGGATCCATTATAGATGTCTGACCTCTATGGGCACCAAGCAGGCACATGGTATACATACATACATGCAGGCAAAATACACACCCACATAAAATAAAATAAAAATCACACATACACACACAGATTTTGAAAGCTGTAGGACAAAGACTTTCTGGAGAAGCTTCAGTGTGGTAGGCCAGGCTTGCATCTTCTATATCTGTTTCCCCAGTGACACACACTGTCTTCATATTAGTAAAGCACTCATTTTGGAATTCTGACTTCTGTGCTGTAAGAAAACGTGTGTTATTTTATATCACTGTTCTACTTTGTCACGCTGGGAAACAGGAAACTGTTCATGGGGCATTTGGGGGAGAAGCTTTGTCTCCTCCCTCCCCCATTGGATTTCTGAAACAGATGACCCTGTTTATCTTATGCTATCCTCAAACTCACCATCCTCCTGCCACAGCCTCCTAAGCCCTGTGACTAGGTATGCATCACCATGGCAGGCTCCAATCGTTCATGTATGGATTTGTTGTTCTGTTTTATATTTTGCATTTATTTAATTAGTGGAATGTGGGGGCATGCACACTAATATGTCCTGGAGCCCTAGAGCACCTGTGGAGACAGGAGACAACTTGTGGGAGCTGATCCTCTACCTCTACCTTGTGAATCCACGCTATCAAACTCAGGCCATCATGCTTGCTACTAAGTATTTACCTGCTAAGCCAACTTGCCAATAATCCTCTGGAGCAAAGAAGGCCACAAGTCCAGTTGTCCTGGTATTTATGTTTGTGACTCCAACATTTAATGCTCGTCTTACATTTCTAATATTGCCTATTCTCGTTTTTCTAAGTAAAAGCAAGTAAATTTATGTAAGTCTGTGGATCTCAACCTGGGGACACTTCTGGGTTATAGGAAACAGTTGGCCATGTCTAGAGACATTCAAGGCTGTGGTGGAGCAGGGAACACTACTAGTATTTTGTGGATGGACGCCAGAGATACTGCTAAGCATCCTGAAATACACAGGATAGGCCTAGCCATAAATGCAATGTGCTGAGTTAGAAAACCCAGTGAGGAGCTGGGGTCCAGGTGACTTGGTAGAATGCTTGCCTAGCATGCACAAAACCCTAGATCCCATACTCAGGAGGAAGAGGCAGAATAATCAGAAATTTAAGGTCAGCCTCAGCTTCATAGGGAGTTTGAGACCAGACTGGGCTTCATAGGTCTGTCTCAAGAAAACCAAAATATAAATTGATAAGTTATCTCTGTAGACAAAATAAGCCAATTCGTGCAGCATTAAAAAGTATAAAAGCAGGTTTATTGGGGGCAGCTTTCCCGTAGGTTCACCAGTCCGAAGGAATGAGGCCAGGGAAGTCACCATGCAGACAGGGAGACAAAGGAGAGGGAGAAGAAAGAGAGAAATGCAGAGAGACAGACAGACAGACAGAATGTCTGGATTATATAGTGAAGAGCCTCTCGAAGAGAGGAAACCTAGCCCCTGGCTTGGAAAGTTCAGGTTAGAGGGTGAGATGGACCAGCCACACCCTATAACAGGTAGGGACTGAGGGAGGCTAGAACCTGGAGGCCAGGTCCCTCTTTGGTATATTAATAGGCATCTCAGCTGTTTGTCCTGGGTCTGAAATCCAACATAAATAAATATGGGGTAGGATACATATGTATGTTCTTCTTAAGATCCTATCTATTATGCATACAGTGTTCTGCCTACATGTATGCCTGCAGGCCAGAAGAGGGGACACCACATATCATTATAGATGTTCATGAGCCACACCATGTGATTCCTGGGAATTGAAATTTGATCTCTGGAAGAGCAGCCTCTTAGCCTCTGAGCCCCTTGACTGTTCTTCTAAGTGAACTCAAATAGCCCTAACAGGCCAGCAAGATAATTGTTTTACAAGGTTTGCTGCTGAGCCTGACAACCTAAGTTAAATCCCCAAACCTACATACTGGTAGGAGACAATTCAACTTCCCAGTAAGCAGTCCTCTGACCTCCAGACATGCCTCCCTATAAGTGAATAAATAAATTTAATTTTTAAAAAGTATTTATTTATTTTATGTATATGAGTACACCATTGCTCTCTTTAGACACACCAGAAGAGGACATCAGACCCCACTGCAGATGGTTGTGAGCCACTATGTGGTTGCTGAGAACTCAGGACCTCTGGAAGAGCAGTCTATGCTCTTAACCACTGAGCCATCTCTCCAGTCTGTAAATATAATTTCTAAACAGAAAAAAAAACTGCATTTTTAGATTGTATTAAAAAAAAAAAACAGAACATGACTGTTTACCAATACAATGTACATTACAGTCATTCTTGTCTACATATTGAGCTGAAAGCCAAGCTGGGCTGTGAGACTCTGTTTCATGAAAACATCAACATAAAATAAATTGGGTCACTTGCCAACAGTTGCAGTTAGCTGGAACATACATATAGACATTCGATATAATCCTTCAGTCTATACAGGCATCATCCTGTGGGGAAGTCTGTGGCTGTGGCTCTGAGGTAGTGTTTATCCAACATGCAAAA